TCACTAGAAGAAAAAGAGAGCAGAAGAGAACAAAGAACTAGAGTAAGCTCCCTTGCAGGAACAAGTGAAGCATGTCAAGGAGAAGTAGGAAATGAGACCAGAAAAAGTGATAGACTTGTGATCTCCTGATTCATCTATTTCCTGAAAGCTATAAGAAATTTTAAGAGTCACTAAAGAGTTTATTTAAAAAACAGCTACCTGATACAATTTACATTTTTGAGAGATTACTATGTTTACTGTATGGAAGAAGAATTTGAGATGGGCAAGAAGACCAGAGAAGCAGCTGGTATAGTGATTCACCAGAAATCATGAAGGTGTGAATCAGGACAGAAATATTCGAAACAAAGGCTTGACATCATTTCTTAGAGATAATGGTGGGGGGGAATCTAAGGACTTGGTACTGAGATTAAAAGTTGGGGCTGGGGATTTAGCAAAGTGGTGCCATGTCTGCCTCGAAAGCAAAAGGTCCTGAGTTGATCCCAGTACAAGAAAAAAAAAATGGAGCCTAATAGTTACTTTATAAATTTGCTGAAAATCTTGTGAAAATGCTTAAAGATCTTGCTAATTACAGTTAGGATCATTTGGCCAAAAAAGAATTAATGTTTTTGTGCTGTGATTAGTTGCAGAGAAACTGGTGTGGAGGGAATCAGGAGACTTTTACTTACACTGGCTCACTTCTCAGGTTTCCTCAACTGTTGAATATTTGCCCGCTTGGACAAATTACTTAATCTCTATCAGTTCCTTCATGACACCAATCTCCCAATATTGTCAGAATTAAATAAAATGATATTTACATATTTTGTAAACTGTAGATAAATGTGCAAATACAGATGTAATTATTAATGGCATAAGAGGAGGCATTGCAAAGGGGTATTTCTTAGGAAAACCTCTCCAATGTTTAAAGTGCTGTATAATATTTTTGACAGTGAAAAAATTAGACTCAGACTTTCCTTGGTTAGATTTTGGTGTTTTTCTTTACAGGTGAATGATATGATCTCAAACAAATGATTTAACTTTCCAATTTTGGTTTCCTCTTCAGTCATATGGAAAACAATGAAATATACTTCTATAAATTGTTATGGAAAGAGTAAGTTATCTATTATTCTACTTGTCACACAGTTACTGCAGAAAAAAAAGGGAGACAAACTTTTGTTCTAACTTTTAAATTCTTTTTTCTCCCTCTTTAAGGGATTTTTATTTTTCAGATTCAAGGTGGCAAAATGACCATAAGATTTCTCTTTTTTCCTTTTTTCCCAAAACACATTAAAGTATAGTAAAGGAGTGAAAAAAGGTGAAGGCCAACAAGAACATAGAGAATGCTAGGCACAATATCAGTTGAAGAGAGTTTGACTGACTGAATTTCTAAATGAAGGGAAAGAGATGAAGAGGAACCAGAAAGCAAGAGGAAGCCACAGCAAAACCCATGGAAAGACAATGATACAAGCAAGGAGTAGGCCAATGTTACTTTCAAAATCCCAGACAGAACTGGGACTCACAACACTAAGAAAAATGCTAGGATTGAGGAACAGATAAGGTAGTAAAATGCAAGTCTTGCTGGAGAATGGGAATGGAAATTATTAAGGTCACCCACATGGCCACCTGCAGTTTGCACTCTGGCATTTGGAGACCACCCACGGTGGGAAGGTAAGCCTCTTTCCTACCTTACTATGACTCCTGCCAGGGAACAAACTGTGTCATGCTCACAGAGCTCTGGCACAGTCTGAGTGCAGCACTTTTGAATCTGAAAGGATGACTAACAACCGTGGCAAAGATTGGTGTGGCAGCAGTGGGGATATGCAGGGGGGACAGGCACAGCATTGAGCACATTCAACACCCTTATATGACTTCCTAAACCCAGACCCATTACAAGGACCTGTGCTCCTGGGAGAGATTACTGACTCCATGACTACAGCAGAAAAGTTCTGGGTGAACTGCGGGAATACCTTATTGACCCAAAAAGAAATGATCAAATAATAATGGAGGCTATTTCTAAAAGACAAGGGAGACAACATGGAAGCATTGGAATACCAGAATAAATAAGAATGTTAGCGAAATATAATATATTGAGTACACTAAGAATCCATTAGCTCATATTGACGTAAGTATCAAGACAAGGAAGCAAGCAAACAAAATAAATGGAGAGAAGAGAAAGTTCTTTCTTACAGTAGAAAGCCAACCAATAAATAATAATTTTATATATTTACAAAATTAGAAAATTATAAATGATCCCAATTAGAGGCTACAAGTTTAATAAGAAACATATTTATATAGTGTCAAAGTATAGCCATACAAATCAATTATCAACTACAAAAAAGAAAATGGCAAATTTATAGTAAAGAAACCTGAAGAACACTATTTTCAAGTGATGAAAGTTCAGATCAACCAAACTTGCATAAATCAACATAACTTTTCTCCTGATGTGATGCTTTGAGAAGGACGCAGCTTCGCTTCTATGGTATTTTTACCAAAAAAGCATTATATGAATTTAGCTATGAGAAAAGGTAGGCAAACCCAAATCAAGGGATATTTTATAAAATAATTGGCCTGTATTCTTCAAATTGAATGAGGTCGAGAAAGATAAAGGTTAAAAATTGATTCAAAGAACACTAGAGGGATACACATGATACTATATTGGATCCTGGACTAAGGAAAAGGAACTATCACTGACAATTGGCTAAATCTGAGTGTGCACTGTGAATTAGGTAGTAGTATGATATTATTATTAAGTACTATTTATTTTCCTAATTTTTATGGTTATACTGTCCTTGTTCTTGGGGTAAATATAACCTGATGTCTCACTTCACTGATATATATATATATTATATAATTTATATATTTATGAATGCATATAAGTAAGACAAAATATAAACATTTTATAAATCTGAGCATGCAAGAATTTTAATATACCTTTACATATCAAGATATATATGATGGTGTATATATATATTTATATACATCAAAGTGTATATATACATGAAAATATATATATGACAAAATATAAACATTTAATACATCTAGGCATGCAGGACTTTTTTGCACTATTATGATAACTTCTGTAAGTCTCAAAGGCTCAAAATTTTAAAAATCAACCGATACAATACGAAACAATTTTGGCCTTAGAAAATTAATGTTAGTTATGATGATATAATCTAGACATTTGAGTTTGGTAGAGATCCCAAATTACCCCTTCAGTACTTAATACCCCTGGACTGTATGCTCCTTAGGGTGATAACCCATTCATCTTCAGATAGCTCTGTTCTTTTTTCTTTTCTTACAAGCATATCTATCTTGATATATCTCTTGCTTCTTCTTGTGATTATATTTATTTAACCAAACTTCTAGAATGAAAGCTTAAACTGTGTGTGTGTGTGTGTGTGTGTGTGTGTGTGTATCTGGTGTGTCTGATCAGAGAGTATCTCCCACTTTGAATCCTAGGAAGGAAGTGAATAAGAAATATCTATCTTTGCATGATCATTTATAGCCCATTAATTGGTTATAAAATAGGAGAATATTAAATATTAAGTCAAATACATTTACCTCTTTTTTTTTTTTTTTTTTTTGGTACCAGGGATCAAACTCAACATTTACCTCTTAAGAGCAGGAACTGTGTTTTATTTATCTTTTATTCCCAGATCTTAGGACAGTGTTTGGTGATAGGTATCTGTTGAATGAATGAATCTCTTCTTGATAAAGATCAATTTCTTGGACTAATTTATACATGCTAATGTGTTTTTATCACTTCAAACCTCTTAACACGGTGGCTAAGGCCTCATAATTTTGGGTGCATTAATAAATGAAATTTACAATGAACTATACAACATTTTGCACCCATAAACCAGAGATTTAACAAGTCAAGTCAATGAACAATTAATTGAGCACCTTCTTAGGGGCAAGAGTCCAATAAATACTTTACACATGAATGAATGGGCTTTAATTCAAAACATAAAGTATTTTGCTTCTATAAAGAGAGATTTCTCTGTAAGCGACAAGGACCATTTTCTAAGTATAGACCACAAATCACTTCAAGTGCTTTTGATGGCAACTATCATTTCAAAGAATAAGTGCTTCATCTTTTATCACTAGCTATATATATATATATATAATCAGAGGTGAAGAAGGTGGGATAAAAAAACCGTCTATTGAAAAGGGGAGAAAATATTGTGTAATGTTAGAGTTGGCTTTCCTTTATTGAGCAAATCTTAGAAATTCCTAAAGATACAATTTCATAACCAAGTTCATTTAGTTATAATTTTTCCAACAATCTCTGGGGCTCAATGGCCAGAGCTGAGAATAAAAACAGAAAGAAGGCAAAATGAATCAAACTGGAATCATGTCACTAATAAAAGGAGAGAAGAAATTTATTTCTTAGCATTCAACAACTAATAAATATTTCCATTCATAATCAGCATAGAGAAATAACAACTGTAGTATATTCGGAATAAATTTGGGACACACCTACAGAATGTTTAAAATTAAAATCTCAATATGGAAAGAAATAATAGTTAGGCATCACTCTAAGGTGGTTGTACAGTCTTAAATCAAAATAAAATTTGATTAAAATGAACCATTATTAGGTAAAAAAAAAAAGATTGATGAACACAAAAGCACAGAAACAGTAAAATAAATGGCCAGGACAAAAATGTGCATGCTTAATAAAATAGATTTATTAAAAGACTAAAAGTAAAGCCACTTCCTACCCACACCCAAATTTGAAATACACTCATGTTGATGTAGAAGTTAATAATATATGAAGAGAGCAACCCTGGGAGTCAAACTATCTGCTAAATTCAAGTATGTCTGAAAAATACGTCTTGCTTTCTTAGTTTGTGAATGAGTATCAGCTTGACATTTGAGTCCTGGACGACTTGTTCAGTATCTTGAACGAGCAAAACTTGAGTAAGCAGCAGTCAGTATCTCTCAAGCAGATCTAGAGGCAGGAAGATAGTTGCTCTTCAAGTCATTCCTTGTGCAGAGAACCGATTGGGAGTCCTGTTCTCACCAGTGCCACCGGTCCATCAGTAGGTGCTGTAACCAAAGCCAGAGCCAGAACCCCAAGGCCTGTAAAAGCTGCTGCCATAGCAACAACCACTGCAACCATTTAAGCAGAAGTTCCGGGAGCTGTAGGCGCGGTGCAGGGGAGTGCCCAGGGGCACAACGCAGTTCAGCGGGGTGGCTCTGTAGGTCCCCTGGAAATTGGTTCCGTAGCAAGGATAGCCTGGGAAGTAGCTTCCACAGCAGAAATAACGAGTCATGGTGGCAGCAGTTGAGAAGGAGTTGGATAGACTGTGAAGGACAAGACTGTGAATGAAGGTCTCCTCCTGTGCACGGCTTTTTATACCTCAAGCTGGTGGGCGGGCATGCCTGTCTACGCATCTTCCTAAAGATGCGTGTAAACAATCCTATTATTTCCTAGCAAAATGCATATTAAAATACCCACAGACTCTTTGCCCATGTTTTTGTTGGCTTTTCTATCTACAGAGGAATGCATACCATCTTCAAAGCACCCATCCTTCACATGAAACGGAATTCTTCTCATCAGTGTCCCATAGTTTACTACATTCTGATCACATTATGTAAGATTCTTTCTGTCCTGTGATTATAAACCCCTCCCAACTGACATAGCCAGGATAACAGCTTTGGTGAGACTGTAAGCACTTCAAATCAAAACAAGGCCACATGCTAAGGTCTTTTGAGATTTGGATAACAGCATTTTGAAACAATAGATGGAAACTCTACAGTCTCTTGAAATTCACTTCGTATATCGCTCCTAAACATTGGTACACCAACTGATTTATGGATACAGAGTTTCTTTTGTGGATGAAGAAATTAAACTGAAACTAGGCAGAGGCTGGGGTTATAGAATATCTTTAATTTACCAAATACCACTGTATACTCATTTTATTTTTATGGAAAGCTTATTTTAGTTTAGTTTATTAATAGTAGTATGTAATACGTACTGCTTGTATTCCTTGTGGGAGGTTGGTACCTGTACATAACATATCTGATTGATTTTTCTCACCCCCTTTCCCTTCCCTCCCTCTCCCTTGTGCCCATGTCTTGAGCCCCTTCCTTTTTTTTTTTCTTGGTACATATTTGCAGTACATATTGTTTACACATCTTATGTGGAGTTGGTACATGTGTATAACACTTTAAATGGCTTCTAATGTGTATTATAAATTCATTTTTTTAATTTTTAAAAGCATTGCTACAAAAATCCATTTGAGCAAGTATTCTTAAACATAATAATAAAATGGGTAAAGTTATATTTAAGAAGACTGAGCTTCCCTGTATTCCTATTTAGTTTGTGTGACCATTCCTGATGATAAAATCAAACCAGGAAGAATTTGAGCTCAGCAAACCTAAATCTGTCCCAGTGCTTAAGAGATGATCTTTTTTTCCCTGGTACCAAAAAACAAACAAACAAAAAAAGAGATGATCTTTTTCATCTGCACGTATGAGTCTGGAATCCCCGAAAGTAAAAGAATAAAAGTTCCTGGATACAAGTTGCTTCTGTTTATCCCCCCTTAATGGACAATCATGGGATGCAATAAGCAATACTATTCCTATCAGACAACTGTCTATTTATTAAGATTCTGCCTCTCTCGAGTTCTCTGACAAAAGAGTCGGCCACTGGACATTTTATAAATAGATTTGGTTTCTTTCATTCTATAAATTTCTTACATGTTGTGAGTTTATAATTAAAATCAAAAGACAAGGTCTATTTTCAAATTAAATTTTTAAGAACACTAATCTATTAAAATGCAGGCTGTGTCACATCAAACGTCTGAACTATATAGACCCTCTTTCAAATAATCCAAAAAACTCAAAAATATGTTTGTGAGTAGAAGAGGATAGTGATGACTACAAAGTAAATGTAACCATCGGGTGGTTACTTGAAATTTTTAACCACCGATTCTACCATGCTCAAGTGGAACTTGCAATTTGAACACGATGTCACAAGGTGGCAGTAGGAATTTGGTTACTCGGTCTGAGCTACAGAACTAGAAATTGGGGACCTCAAATGTAAACAGACTGAAGAATCCGGAAAAAAAAAAAAAGGTTCGAAATTTATACTTCGAGGAGCTCTCTCTTCCACCACCACCAGGAGATTCTAGAAATCTATTTTTAAGGCACATCTCAGATAATTCTCATGAATAAATCATCCTGATAAATCCCAAGGCCAATTTTTCATGAGATTTCAAAGAAACTCTCTTTGATGGGCTATGTGAAATTGCCCTGAACCACTTATTTCTCATTGGCAGCACTGCTCAGTTTCAATCACAGGCGGCCTATTTCCTTTTACTCTGAGTGATGGAGATAAAGAGAAAATGCCTTAGTTTGTCTTTGCCATTACCCTATATCCTCTGCTTCTTGTCAGATTAGAAAGAGAAAGTAACTGCTAAATGTGCAGCCATCTTCCTGGAAGTAAAACCCATATGGCTTCCGGGTTTGTTACCCTAAATCTAAAGGAAGAAATAGATTTTTCTCTTTTGCTTGATTTTTCCCCCCATCTATTAGGCTTTCCCAGAGAAAACTCTTGTAACTATTTGTGATTCAATAATTGTTTTTATTTTAAATATTAGTAATAATAATAAATATTTGTGGGTGGATTACTCTGGTAGGTTCTTTTCTAAGCTGTTTACATATATTATTTATATCTGTGTTTTACCTATGCATATAGTAAGGGTACTTACTATGCATGCTTCCAAGCTCTGGACAAATGTGAATTTATTTAGTTTTTATAATGACCTTATGATGCAGATATTATGATATGTTTTGAGAAAATTGGTTCCAAAGCATTTTAGTAAACTGCCCAAAGTCACACAGTCAATAGGCGCAGAATCCTGTTCCAAACCCATGGCGCTTCATTCCACACTCATGTTCTTAGCCACTTTATTATATTGTTCTGGGTACTTTTAGGAGTGTCCGCTTATAAAATGCCTCAGATATACAATTCATTGCTTTTGTATCTTGAAGAATGTATCGGTCAGGAAAGGCTAGTTGGCACTGCTGGAACAAAGAATGCAAAACCTCTATGCTTTGAAAGATCAGAGCTCTATTTCATGCTTATACCAACATCTTTCTCAGGATCACTTAATTCTCATTCTGAGGCTTAAAATGATAGAACTTTCATTTCTCTGAAATGTAACAGACAGTGGAAGAAAATGTGGCAAATCTCACATACACACACACATACACACACACACACACACATTCCTAAAGACTTTCACCAAATATGTATTACTTCCATTCATTTTTTCATTTCCTAAAACAAGTTATACATCTATATCTCACTTCCTAGGTCAAGAATCGCAACACCACCATGTACCTGAAAGGAAATTCATAGTGCTGCAGGGCATTAATGACTTCCATGGTTTATATTCCTTATACAAAGTAAAATAATTTAACATATCTTAAAAGAGGACACAGTAAGATGACTGAGTAAAGGAGTACAATATCAGCACCCAATGCACACTCACAAATGGACCAAAATAGTAAGTAATCAATTATATTCTGACTGCACTGCCGTGGCTAGTGATGGAGTGTAGCACAGAGCGGCGGAGATGCTTTAGACCATGAAGACTTGGGATGGCTGCCTAGAGAGGGGAACAAATTTCCCCAACTCTGCCACTCCCATCAATACAGTAAGGTACAGCTCAGAACCAAGAAGGAATTCTCCTGGAGAGAAAAAGATAAGCCAAAGCCATTCAGTAGTCTCTATGAAAAACATGGACAATTGCAATGTTTTCTACTGGAGAATTCTGCAGTCCTCTCAAACCATGAGGCCAGGCTAGGAAGCTGCTTGGAATACACATCATTGGATTATTCCAAGGAAGGAGCTACATCATGCCCACTCCTCCACAACTTCGAGTCTTTAGTGCAATCTTGAGATTATACATTGCTAGTATGTCCTGCTATGGGCATCAGTAGCCAGCACATCACCCCAGCATTCTGGCTGTACCATCACTGCACTATGCTAACACAAGTAGCTGCAGTGTTCTGAAAAGTGAAACCTTGTGGAACAACCATGACCCTACACAAGAGCCAAAATGGCAGCCTGCCTCCCATGGAATGAGAGATCCTGCCCAGTGGGAAGAAAACACCATTACTCAGAAACCAGTCAGTCCTCTTATGCTCAGAAGCCTGTGAAAACCCTGCCCCAATGCAGAGGAGACTACACACCTCTCGTGGAGATCAACCAGCTCCTGATCAGACTTCCAGCACAGAGGTCGCAGTTGACCCAATGGAGGGTACTTCATCCACATGACATGCAGCAGGGAGGCTGCTCTTGACCAGTGGTGCAGCTCCACAGACTCCTGCAGGCTAGGCCACTTAGGGACTCACAGACTTTGCTGACATTGGCTACAGCTGAAGAAACTGAATGGAGACTGTGTAACTGACTTGCCTGGCACAAAACTCAACACATGCTACCCAGTCAATACATAACTACAGGTAAAAGTCTTTCTCTGTGACAGCTACTCTGTAATCAGAAAATATAACCATTTCACTAGATGTGCAGACATCAACACAAGAATACAGACAGCGTGAAAGAGCAAGGAAACAAGCCACCACCAAAGAATCACAATAGCCACCCTACAACTGACCCCAAAAGAAAAAAAAAATTACAAATTGCTTTTTAAAGAATTCAGAAATAAATAAATAAATAAATAAATAATCCAAAGAAACTCAGTGAGATAGGCTATTGAACAAAGTTAGGAAAACAATTCATGATCTAAATGAGAAATTTAGAGTAGACTGCTTCAACAGATGGAATAAAAAATATAACTCAGAGCTTCAACCACAGATTAGATCAGACAGAAGAATGAATTTCTGAACTTGAAGACGGTTATTTGAAATAACCTTCTTAAAAGAAAAGAAGAAAAAAGCAAAGAAACCCTGGAAGATATGTGGGATATCATCAAGCCAAAAAATGTTCGCATTATTAGGGTTCTAGAGGAAGAAGAGATAGAAAAAGGTACAGAAAGCCGACTTAATGAAATAATAGCTGAAAATATTACAAGTCTTGGAAGAAATATGAACATCCAGATCCATGAAACTCAAAGCCTAAATTATAATCAACCCAAAGAGCTCCTCCTCAAGGCACATTATAATCAAGCCGTTAAAAGTCAAAGAAGGAATGCTAAATCAACAAGAGAAAAATGTCAAGTCTTATGTAAGGGAATCACCATAATACAAACAGTAGATTTCTCAGCAGAAGTCTTGCAGGCCAAGAGCAAATAGGTTGGTATAT